CCAATAGATATTTAAATTCTTTAGTATATTTTTAATGCAAATTTTAATACTCAATTTTCTCTTCGTTGTAATATCTATTCGCATCGGAGGTACTTTTACAATTTTTGATGACATTAGCGACTCACGGTGTGTTTGAAATCACTTAATTGTGTATAAAGTGCTCAAGAGAGATTATCCTAGAGTGTTTTGTCCTATACGTGGAGATCTATTCCCTCGCGATAGAGAGAGAATCACGAGGGCCGTACAACCGATTAGTTTGTTTGTCTGACACAGAAACGTCGGGAGCGATTCTGCGGATGGGGTTCGTTATCGCTTGTCAAGCAATTTGTTTAGTTTCATCTTGACGCGTGGGGAAAGCACATGGAACCAATGAGTAACTTGAGCACGAGTGGCTCCTTTGGGGGCGTGACGAGGATATTTCGGAAAAATTCTACTGAATGAAAGGTTCTGCGCCGTTCAGACTGCCTGGCGCTTTCCGAAAACTCTGGTGTCAGAATTTGAGAAGAGACGCCGGGAACGGACGATCGGGAATGATCATCCTATTACAATGAGAAATTGTGAACTCAGCACGACATATTTTTTCTCCCCCTGTAAGATTTTTGAGAAATCGAGTCGTATCGTCTTTCTGAAGAATTTTTTTTTTAAGACAATCTTTAAATTTTTCGACAATCGCAATTGAGCTAAATTATAATAAAATAAAATAAAAATTAATAAAGATAAATAACGTTAGAAATATATATTGAATGAATATATCGAATTAAATTGTGGTAAAAAATAGAATTTATTGATTAGAAGTAACAATATAAAAGTATTCTAGAGTATTCTCATTAATATAAGCTCTAGTTATAACGGTAGCACCTGTTTTAATGTCAATCGTGACATATGTTACAATTCTCTGGTTACCGCTCAGTTCTCACACATCGGCACGTACAAGAATTTTGTGAGACAACCCTCGGGAATGAGCCTACCCCAGCCCAGCCGATGGCGGTCGGAACCCACTGAGTACACAAAACCTCGTTGTTGAGGTAGACAGGGACCTGCCTTACCGCAGCAGCTGAGATAATGGGAAGGAAATCAGTTCATTTCTATGTTGATCCCACCAGTTTGGTCCCCGGCGCTTAAAGGATCGCCACGATTGGCTGGCTGATCGAGAAAATCGAACCGGAACATCAGCGCGGCTCATCGAAAGACTCGATCGTGCCCGCCGATCGTGAACGATTCAAAGAAGCATTCGTGTAGAATACAAAAGAAATACATCCGCTAATTGTCCCATTATATGATTCAAAATTGATATTATACATAGATATATCATTAATACTTGTCATTACTAATAAAACTTTTCCGAGTTTGCGTGGTTTAAAGTAACTTTACAAGTGGATATGTTATCTATACAGATACAATATTATATTTCATACTTATACGTAATACGCATATAACAAGCTAGACGTTATTATTATTGAGATTTTAAATACGAACTACAAATGCGTTTCGATAAAACAGAGTTTCAAGAGATGTGATATCTTGCCCTTTACAACGTTCGGAGTTCGACGGGAATTCGAAGTTCCGTTTAAGATCGCTGCACGACAAAGTTCCCGTGTGGAGGAATCACGATCTGCGGGAGTCGCGGTTCAATTTCGCGTCTAAACGCCCATAAGTTTGCGGCGAGGAGACTTTTGCGGGCGCATTCTCCGGGGAGACTAGAGGCTAGCCGAGCAATTTGTCAACACCATTAGTCCGGGGGGTGCAGCAAGGGTGGACTTCGACGCATCTGCTAGCTCGATCGCAAGGCCGCGCGATAATAAAGGGGTAGTTAATGACTAACGGGGGCTGCGCAGATCGCAGCCGACCGTATGCCGCCCTGTTGACAAAATATTGAGCATCCCATCGGCTGAACGGGGAAAAGAGATTTTCCGCAGCGATTCTTCCCGTCGAATTTTCGCTCGCTATCTCGATCCGATCGCCCGATCGGGCGTCGCTATTTCCGCATCATCATTTTCATTAGAGGGCCGGTATTGCTTTTATCGCGGTCGACGCTGGCATTAATTTCCATCGACGTGCCGATATTAATAGAGCTCGCGTAATCCCGCCGCGATATTAATGACAATAATATGTGGGGTAGCGTTCACGATAGAAATTTTAATTCGCCCGCGACCGCCTCGAATTTATCAATGTCCTACCTGTTGACCGATCAAGCGCGACGACAAATAATGCGAAAGTGAGTTCGAATAATGATAGGGCAGTTAAATGAAAAATCATTGACATTGCATAATGCTTTGGAAAATAAGTTGTGAGTAATTTTTCTAATCGTAAAATTTAACGTGAATTTACATACAATCAAGTTTTATCCTCCGAACGGATTCATAAATCGAAACACACGGATTTGGATTCCACGGTTCTCGTGGAATCCATTTACATACATATGTAAACGCGAGCACGATTTATTGTCGGAAAAGCGAGCGGGGAAAATTCGATACACTCAGAAGAAAAATGAAGCTCTTCTTATAGAGTACCCGCGATCCTAAATGGTGGGAGCCGTTGGCGCGCGAGTCTAGGACTGGAACCGAAATGGGGATAGAGGTAGGATGCCATTGGAATAAGATCGGGTTTAGCCGCAGTGTCGGGTTCGAGCCCCGGATAAGTCTACCTTATCCCGATAAGCCGGTGAGTTAATGAATCACAAAACAGGTGGTGGCGCTGCCACGAGAGAGGATCGTCTTCGTCGTCTTCGACGATCGTCGTACGTGCGACTGAAATCGTCCGTCGCTCGAATGACACTACATTACAATAAACGACTAGAGTTATGAAACTTGACTTCGATTCATCCGTTTCGACGAACATTCCCAACGAACGTCTTCGATCAAATCTTTGCGGTGTAAAGAAGCATTTCGGGTCTTACATATAAATGTAGTTTATTTGTATCTGAAATTAAGTATTTTACGAATTTGTAACAAGAGTAAGAGAGGGTAATGTGAGAAAAAAAATCTTAAATAATATGAAATAATATATTCAACGAAAGTCGGGCCATGGAAAATAATAATAGATAATTTAATAATAGACAGTGTTTTAATCATTTATCTCCGGTAAAACTAGGTATATATGAAGCGTGTACTCTCGAGTTTTTAGGTTTTCGGCGACGGCGCATTACCACTCAATGGATACGAAGTTTTATCTGGTGCTTCGTACCGTGGAGATATAGAATAACACAACGGGAGCGGTGCTTATCAAAGCTATTCGTACTAAACTTTTATCTGTGTGCTCGTCTGGCACTTGACAAGAATCAACGTCGTTTCATCAGACAAGAGTCTCTTCTGATATTACGATTGGAAAGAAAGAAAGAAAAAAAGAAAAAAAATCAAGCTTCAAATAGTTCGTCTCTAGCTAACGCACGGAAATCCGTTTATTGATTTCTCCTTTTTAATTTCCTTAATAGTTATATACTTATCTACCGCACGATTATCATTGTTTGAGAGTTTTGCTTACGTATACGATATCATGATAGATTATGATTAGTCGATCACAACGGAAATAACATTCATTTGATTTTTTTTTTGCAAGAGTGGGAGTGTTTGCAATAAACGCATCTGAATTACAGATCGTTCGATAAAAGCGCAACGGGGGAGACGTAATATATTAAATTTTGCCTTCTTATCGAGATTTATCGGCGACGTAGCATGTAATTGAATATTTCAGATCGTGCGTCACATCGCGATTCGTCGCGTTGAATTACGCCGATCGAACAAACGTTTCCGTTTTCCTCGCCGAATTATTTCATTGACTCCGATTGTTTGCGTGTTGCGTGTCTGTTTGTTTGTCGCGGTATTTGTATGGCGAACGACGGCGAATAAAGAAAGTTTCCTACTTTTGTGCAATGTCACACGTATCAATCTTATTTTGCGAATGACACATCCGTGATATGAGATTTTCGGCGGAGATGCACGATAATGCAGCTTTCGCGCGGCACAAAGTCAGGAAAAACGTCGGATACTTATCGCGCGAATAAATGAGGATCGATAGTATCGCCAACAATAAAATCAGGCGACAAGTCAGCTACATGCGATTATATCGCGATAACGTGCGATGCGCCGACAGTGGAAAAAGCAAACCTCATATCTTGTCGATACACAAGAGAGAACACGTCGATTGTAATTACCGAACTCATTCGCGAAGCCACTTTACCGCGACATTATCAAACTTAATCCTTTCATGATCTTATAGAATGCGATTCTCTCGATTTGTTGCATCTTATGCATTTTACGCAGCAACACACACATTTCGATTGCTATTATACATATTAAACCTTATTGAATCTTAAAACAATATCTTTATATAGATATATATTATTGTGCTGAATTGAAAAATTGCCGTAGTTATCACATTGTAAGAGTAGGTGGAAAGCAATTTTAGATAAAAATTTATTCAATCTCTATTCAATCTTGATAGCATATGCTAACTATATTAATTATTTTTGAGGATTTATGTACAGGTATATCAAAGTAGATCTATTGCTCTACGAAAAAATAACATTTTTATATCCTTTTTTTTGTAATTGAAGCTATTTGATTCTGTGTTAAATAATAACTTTTTGTTTTATCTCGTTTAACAGCGATGAAACCTAGCAATTAAAAAGCTATAAAATATGTCTACAACAATAGACACAAATTAATTTTCTGAAATATCGTGCAAATATCGTGTTTGTCCCTAAATATAGACGGATGATACATGATCCTTAAGGGCCAGTTTCACAAGTGTTAATTAACTTTTAATCTTAGATTAACTCACTCTTCATCTTTTTCTCTTCTCTTTTCACTCTTCTCTTTTTCTAAGGGGGACGTTAGAAGGAGACGAAGAGTGAGTTAATGTAAGATTAAAAGTTAACCGACACTTGTGAAACTGGGCCTAAGTAAATCGCGCATAAACTTTTGATCGCGTTAAATTCGTCACGATCAACGAGGATGACGACGAGCGCCGGGTAGTCTTTAGTATTGTAAACGACTCACCACGTTTAAGTTTCTCTAGCGGTTCGTGGTGCAGCTGGTGGCTGGAGTTGTGTAGCATCGAGGTGTCGTGATGCGAATTACCGTGGAGATCGTGATGGTGCATTGCGCCCTGAAGATGGTCGCCGTGTAGGCCGGCCATCGAGGCGGTCGCCGCAACCGCGTGCTGGTGATGCTGCACCGAGAGGCCGCTCGTAGGCCCGATCACGAGGTCCTGTAGACACAGATCCGCGTTGCCGCCGCCACCACCGCCGCCTCCGCCGCCACCGCCGCCGCCACCGGCGAGTTCGAGGCTCCCCCCGGCCCCGCCGCCCCGCTCCATACTGTAGAAAGTTAACGTCGTGTTGACTGTTCCTTACGACTCGGTGACACGATCAACCTGGCCCGCGAGAGGCCGCGAATCAGCGCGATCACGCCGGTTTGTCCGCTGCTTCCTTCTAAGGACACATTCAAGCGTTCTCTCTGTTCCGTAGATCGGAGTACACGTCGTCAATAAGAATCTGCGTGATTGTTCTTTAGAGGCGATTAACAGTCAAAAACATCAGCTTGTTTCTTTCGAAGAGAGTACTTGTCTCACGAGAATTTTGACGTACCGGGTCCCGTCAAAGTTTCTATATCAAGAATATGATGCGTGACGGTTGTCGACGTAGTCAGTAATGAGATCGATAGATTTTTTTTACATAGGTTTGTCCTCTGAGAATTATACTCGTGCGATTCTACCAGAGACGGTCACAGCGCGTTCGTTATGCCGTCGGCACTTCGCTGACGCTCCGGTTTCCTTTAGCGTCGGCAACGAAATAAGCGCGTACTCGATATCCAAAATCGACCGACGGGAATACGTGGACGGTCGCGAATTCACGCGAGACTTCGAAAGAATTCCCAAAAAAAAAAAAAACGTGGGACTCACATGGACGACGCGCGCTATGACACGGAGGCTTGATAAATCAGATAACCGTCGGTTCAATGTCGTCGTGTTACGTAAGAAAAAAAGCTAAGAGTTATAAAATACGTCGTTTAAGTAGGTTAAACTACTTAAGCACTATCATCCTCATAAACATCTTCCACCTGAGGTAGGTGAATTCTTCTACCTCTCTTGCTCTTCCACCGTTTTTATCTTTTAAACTTTTGCTATATTTCTCTCTCTTTGATGGAGTCAGTCGTTATAAGTATTCACGATTTGTCGCGATTCTTCTTCATGCTTTTACGTTCTCCGCGTGAGTTCTGTCGAAACGTTCATAGGGCAGGTTTGTCGATGATTCGGAGTCACTACGTTAAGACGGTTGACGGACAAGGCGTAATCAAGGTTCCCTGCAATATATCTAGCACTACGTTGATCATCACTCCCGTGTCACCCACTCTCTTCAGCGAGTCGTTCACCAACATCCACCGGCTTCTGTCACTAATCAAAGTTACGCCGATAATTTGACGCACCCGCCGGGTGAACGTGGCATTCCCTCGACACCACGACGATCTATACCTATTATCACCACTTCCAAATTTTCGTCTTTCACTCCGGAAATCCACGACGTGAGTGTTTACACGCGATTTACAGGCGCGTGGTACGAGAACGACGAGGTCTCCTACCCGCGACCGTCGTCGAACGCCGCGGCCGCGGGCAACGACGTCGACGTCGTCGCCGTCGTCGTCGTCGGCACGAGCGCGTCGATGATGATGATCACGCAGCACTCGTCACTACTCGTCACCTCCGCCCTTAACGTACGTCAGAGAGGAGAAGTGCGGAGCGGGACACGGCGATGGAGGAAAATATAAGAAGGCGGCGGCGGCGGTACCGCCGGTCGCAGCGGTGTATCCTGATTTTCCCGCCGGTAGATGAAACGCGTCGTAGTGGCTAGCGCCGCGTAAGTCGGTTGGTAGGTGGGTCCGCCAGGCTTAGCCGGTTGAGCCTTTCGGACTGCCTGCCGGCTTAAGTCTCTAAGTCGGTAAGCCGAGCGGATCTAGTGGTCTTGGCTGGTGCACTGGCTGCCTGCTAGCTTGCTTGCCTGGCTGCCTGCCTGTCTGGTTGCCTGCCTGCCTGCCTGCCTGCCTTCCTTGCTTGCCGGGCGGCCTGCCTGACTGTCTGACTGCGCCTCTCCCTCCGGCTCGCTCGCTCTTACTCCCCTCCATCCGTTCCTTCTCTCTTTGCCTCCGCACCCGGAGCAGACTCCCCACCTAGCACATCTCGCTCGTGCTCGTGGTGTGTCGCTCGCTCCCCTTGGCACGATCTCTCACGCCTGTGCTCGCGTTGCCGCGCTCGCTCTTTTCCTCCCTCGACTCGCCACATCCCGAACGCATCTCTCTCGGTGCCGTTTGTTCGCGGCTCGTATCCTCCCGCTTCAGTCGTGTGCATCCTTGTCCACGTAACGCGGGTTCTCGTCCGCTCCCTCGCGATCTCTTACACACCGTCGTCTTGTCCCTCCTCCGCGCTTCTTCCTCGACCAGCCCCTCCACACGTCTTTCTCTCGCACGGCATCCCTTCTTCCAGAATCGCATGGCGTTCCTTTCCTATCGCATTTCGTTGCCCGCGCGATTTCTAGCTCCGAATTCCCGTCTCGTATGTGAGGTTTAGTCTGCAGTAATAGCAACTCTCTTTAGGTGCCTAAGTTCGTCATTGTTCTCTCTTCGCCTGTCTTCATCTTCAGCCATCTTGCTATAATATTACTGTAATATTATTGTTATAATAGAATTTTCCACGCCGCCACGATTTTTCGCGTCTCTTTTCGTTGCATAGTTCCCCGAGGCGGTTACACCGGTTAACGTTCAGTGTCACCGACGCGCATCCCTTTCGGTCCATCCCTACCTTCGGATTTTAACCCCACCTTTGACCCGGAGTTGCCCCTCCTACGGTAGCGACGGTGGTCGGCGTGCTTGCTCCTTCGAGCGAACGCACACGCACACGTGGTGTTTCCTCTTTTCTCTTGAACTCTACCGGCGATCTTGTGGATCTTGCCGTACTACGACGATTATCGTTTGTTGTTTCTCCCGTGGTCGACCTCGTAGCGCCTTGACCACGCGAGATCGCGATCCCACCACCGTCGGAGTAGTCTCGGCGATTACCCTCCGCTTCCGTAAGAAATACATAGCTATATCACTGTTTGTTTACCTGAACACCTCACGTGCAAATAAAACAGTGGAGAGAAAATAGTTTGGGCATCCTTGCACTGTTGCGAGAAGTCAATCTTGCCGTTTCTCTTTCGCGATTCATAGAAGAGAATAAAGTGGAGGAGAAGCATCAGGAAATTTTGTTACAACTTGGTTTACAAATTTTATTTTTAACAATTATTTGTGGTTTGAAGCGCTGAAATTTGTTGGCAATTCAGTTTACGAATAATACTTGGTATTTTTATTATTTTTTTTTATTAGTAATATTATTCGTAAATTATTCTGTTTCGATTATAATCGCGCTTTCTGTTCAACTTTACGATCGTGCGTCTCATAAAACCAAAAATGAAGTTTGCGGCGGTTCTCTATTCAAAATCGGGATTGCTAGTACGTGGTTATCGCACGGCTTATCAGTCGGAGCAAATATCGGTCTGCGGTGACGTCTGGAGTCGTCTGTATTGGGTGTACTATTCGATTTCGAGAGGTGTGCCTCGAACGCAAGGAGTTTACGACTGCGGATGTGCGAGTGTTTTCAAGGAAAAGCGAATTCTCGATTGCTTGATCCACTGTCAAACGATACGATTGGTCGTGCAACATTCATGCGCGATTAATCTGAGAATTCAAAATGTATTATTACTGTCAGCTTTACCATATCAAATAATTATTAGTATGCATGTACATTGGAAATGATCTTGAATGTAACAAGGCAACGATTTAAATACATTAATCGTCTTCTTTTTCACTATTTAAATGTCACAAAGTCTAAGTTTATCGATGCCATATATTTTTACATAACGTTTGGAATTTCACATAGTTAAAATTTGAAAAAGTAACGAAGTAGATAGGGGAAAGATTAGCTACGTCCGATAACTGGTTTTTCGGATTGACCAAATTGCAAACTATATTTAGTATCTCCATTCCCTGTGTACTATATCGAGTAGTATTGCGTCAACCGAATAACCTACAAGTTTCTCGGTGACTACTTCGTAGACATGACGGCGTCCAACTCGTTCTTATTACGGCGGGAAACAAGGTCCGGAAGGGTCAGAGACGAAGTCGGCCGCGCGTGATCCTCGTAAGAGAATCGTCGTCAGCAAAGGGAACCGTGGACGTCGTGACTGGCGTCAAGAAGTTGTCACGCAACGAATGGGGCGGGGGATGGAAGCATTTTCCGAGAAAGGGAGAGCGAGAGAGGGAGAGAGAGAGAGAGGAGAGAAAATATGTGGAAGAAAAATAAAACGGACGCAGGAAGGACGAAAAGGAAAACGGAAAGAGACGGAGAGTAACTATCGGCGGTACAGAAAGTAGAAGGGTGAAGAGGGGGAGGAAACGCGACTCTAAAGCACTCGATGGAAGAGAACGCGGCGGGCGCGTGGAAAACGAAGAGCGCGATACGAAAACGGGGGTTGTAGCGGCAGTACATACGTCAAGCTAGGAACAGAGCGCCATCCCGGGGATCCCCTAACGCCTCGGGGAAAGTAGAGGAGACAAATGACAAGATGGCCACGCCTACCGTGCAGGCCGCGTGGGCGTTATTTGCCGGTGTGTGCGTGTGACTTCCCAGAGTTCAGAGCTAGAGTGGGAGCACCACATTGGCGCGACTCGGTTTGGTGGGACAGAAGCAAGAGAGAGAGAGAGAAAGAGAAAGGGAAAGGGGGAAGGGAGAGAGAGAGAGAGAGGACGAGAGAGTGGGTTACATAGGATGCGGATGCGGGGTGGGACGTGTTCACCAGGGTGTCTTCTGATTTTTGAAGCGACCATCCGAGTTATATGAGCAACGTACAGCGAGTACGATGTCGCGGCCGAAATGTGGAAACCACTCTACCTCGGTAAATTAAAGTCGAAGATGATGATCGGGGATGGACACTGGCTTCGAATGAAATGTGGCTTCTCCTAGTTGTAGAGAATAATGTGTGTGTGTATCTTTCTTCATCTCTCTTTCATCTTTTTCACCTACACCCTTGTACATCGGCGATGTCTTATACCGGGCGTGAGAAGCGTATTTCAGTATTGGCATTTCGACAGTTCTGTCGGACGTATCGACAACTTAATATCGTTCCATTAAAAACTATGATAGTAATATTTCATAATGCGTATTATGGCATACATAAAATAAAAGATGAACAAATGAAACTGCTTGGCAAAATATCGTATTTATTGAATGCAGTATTATAGTAATAGTCAACGCACAATATGATCCGCGACATAAAGTCATGTCTATTATATATATACTACAGTGGTACTATAACTGTAGCAAGATAAATTAACAAGTAGAACTTTGCAACGCGCCATTTTGGTCGATACACGATAGAAACTATCGGGAGAATCGGACGTTTGTATTATACGTCCGGCCATAATTATTGTAATTCAATAATAATTGAAGGATTACGGATTATCTCTGTATATAGGAGAGTCGCGGCACGGCTTTGCGGCTGGCCTCAACGTCGAGGCTGTCGCACACGATCGCACTCGCTATTCGCTATTGATCTCTTTCGATCGACGTTCAACTCTGACTGGGATTCGATAATCGGCTCGTTCTATCGACGGTTAAACTTCGCGCGACATGTTGTCGGCGCTATTTTTCTCTATTGCGAATCTACTGCATATCTCGAAATCGATACATATATAAAGTGTTTTTTGAAAAAATGGCCAAACTTATACTTTATAAGTACTGATAGTATCTTATTCTGTATGATGTACTTACGGCAGTCTTGTTGTGCAAATTTATTTTACGTGCAATACTACACACGTAAATAATGTAGTTAAATAAATATTTAATTATAGATATGCAATGAGAAAAAGACTTGAGATAAATTTAGAAAGACGCTGGAATAATTTGACGCATCTTCCTGAGGTCGATCTTTAAAATCAAATTTACGTAATCAAACTTGCGAAAATGACGTATGCATGTTTCGATCAGCAAACTTTTGCTATTGACATGTAATAAATATTGACGGTAGTTATTTACGCGCATAAAGCTGAAATTGCAGAATCTTATCGTCCGGTTTTACAAGCCGCTAAAAACAAGGCCTCGCATTATCTAATTATCACTCATAATTCTAATTACTACGCCGCATCATACGCGTGATTATTATTTGTACTTGTCATTTGCTCAATATCGGCGACAACCATAAACTAAGTTATTGCCGGGATGCCATAAAAGGATAAGATAGACGTTTATCAGCTACAAGCGGCCGGTTGCTCGTTTTAACGACGAGAACTCGACTCGCAAGCACACACGTCTGACGTTAAATATTACCTGTCAGTCGATTATTTTGCGACGCGACGCAAAAAACGCCAAAAACATAAAAAAAACTCAGTTATATTATATGCAAATATCGTTTACTTTGCAATGTACAAAATATGCGATTGACATAGATATGTGAAAATAAATTCGGAAGCAAAACGTTTTTAAATAAAGAATGAAAGGATTTACATATTACGTTACGTTACATATATTGCATTTACTTTAAATCTTTGAAATGCTAAAATATATTGTGTATAATTGCATATAAAAAGGATAGATGTCTTGTAGTTTATACTATTCTCAATATTCAAATATATTAGTATTTAATATTATTTCAACAAAAAAGGGATACCTACATATGCTTACTCATTTCATGACGCAAGTAATTGCTATTATGTACTCTACACATTTCTATTGACCGATGAATAAGATATTGTTTTTATTAAAAACACATTAATATCTTGCATATAAAATCTTTATTTCTTTCGAAGCTACGCAATTTGTAGAGATATAATTTTTCTTACGCAAGTACGGAATCTTTTCAGGAAACGCCTACTCGACTTTCGATATTGGTCATTGGTGATTGGTTTTTGTCGTGGTTTATTAATTGATACAATAGATTGTTTTTGGCACCAATGCTTGAATTGCGATATTGAAATGAAATCGATAAATAGATTTTGTAAGATAAATT